ACAAGTGAGAGAGAACTCTAGGAAGACAATGCATGTTGACAGGAGTCTTCAACGTTTACCCAGAGATTTCATTATGTTCCTCTGTATGAGCTTCTCCCCAAGGGCCTGATGGATAGCCATACAGTTGAATGGGTTCCCAGTTTCCCAGTCTGATTTGGAGATAACCAGTTTGCTATACGTGAAGAAGGAATCATCTCTTTTGTCCTCCATAGATGGGGTGTTGACATAGTTATCTTCTGAAATGGGATTGCCATTCCTTTCCCACAGGACATCAATATTCATTGGGGAGTACCCATAAACTAAGCAGCTTAGGATCATTTTATTGTCAGGGTTGTGCATCACTTCAATGGGAGGGTAGATGTGCATGATGGGTTCCTTGCTGTGTTCTTTGTGAACATAGAAAGAAAAAGATAAAAAGGCAAATATTATAAAGGGTAGGATAAAGTAATGGAAGCAGTGACTGGGTCCTCATGTATTAAGCCATGATTTATTGTAGCTAACCAACCACAGAGAACTGGTTCACTTGTGAGATTAAGAGATTAGTCACAATTATAATTACACAGAATTGACTGGGGGGGAGGGGGTATCACATAGCATTCCAGGCCAAAATGAAACTTAATGTGATGTAAGAACCTCAGCCAATGTGCACAATTAATATTCTGAAGGCAGGACATGCTGGAGCTCTAAAGGGGTTAACTCTACTTTCTCCTTACCTCTGATCTTGGAAATTGTCTTAACGATGGGGCAGGGCAAACCTGTATATCTCACTGTACAGGTGAAAGGCTCTCCTGATTCCCAATCTGCAGTAGACACAGGGAGGTGGCTGACAGCAGTGAAGGTTCCATTCATTTCTTTGGTCACCTCCACTAATTCAGGATGCATGGCTTCTTGCTTCTCCCGTGACCAGCTTATTATCAACCCCTCTTCCTTTGGCAGATTGACAACCACACAGGTGATCTTGCCATTTTGGCTTATGTACAAGTCTTTTGGGCGTGGGGGCAGAAGATAGATGTTAATCCCACAGCAGATGTGATTGTCATCTATGGATACAAAATTCATGTCAGCCCTTACATCACTCCTCACCTTTCCCTTAGAACCTTGACCTAATTTCTTCCCTTCCTTCTAGATCAGCTCTTGAGCTTGTTTGAATAAAATGTTGTTTGTTTAGCTTGTGAATGGGGAATTGTCCGTCCTATTATCTGACCCCAAAATTCAAGGAAGGACTTCATGACACATTTTTTAAAAGAAGAAAGCATGTTATTTGTAAGGCATGGATTTCAGAAAACATCTCAGACTTGCATGCATTTAAATAAACATGCTGAAACTTGCCCCCTCATCATTGAAATCTCAAATGACTTGACCTGGGTTCTCCCTTCTCCAGATTAGAAAGGCCCAAATCTTTTCTCCTCACACCAATCACCTGGTCCTTGCAAATCCCTTTGGAAAGGCACCAGTTTTAGGTGTTTTCCATAATGTAAGAGTTTTGGTCCTAAGCAGAAATCTGATACTATCCTGAATACTATATCTATTACCACTACTCTGCTTCCTCCTTACCTCTGATCTTGAAAATCTTCTTAATGATAGGATGTAAATGGTATATGGGATAGACTCCCTTATAATCAACTGCCCTTTGAAAGGAAAAAGGTTAACAACAATTTTGCTGGACTCACGCTTAATGATTGTGTTAATTATGGAGTCGGTGGCTGGATGGTGAACGCTGCACTGGAATGACTCCGATTCCCACTGGTTGATTGAGATGGTGAGCAGACTGGTGTGGGTATAATGGCTGGACGAATTAAAAACTGGAGGGAAGTGGAGGATTCCGCTGGTGATGGCGCCTGAGTTCCATTGCACCGTGGCTGGTTCGGGAAAGTAGTCATCGACGAGACAACCAATGGTAACCTGGCAGGTGGCGAAAATGTCTTGGCAAGAAGGAGACAGTGGGAACACAGTTGGGGCTTTGGGAGTAGCTGCAGGGAAGATAAAGACAGGATGATGAAGATGGTGTAGACATATCTTCTGATGGACTTGAGTGCTTCTAGAGCAGATTGTTCTACAGCAGCGTTTTTCATCCTTGGCCACTTGAAGATGTTTGACTTCAACTCCCAAAATTCTCCAGCCCCCATGCTGGCTGGGGAATTCTGGGAGTTGAAGCCCACACATTTTAAGGTTGCCAAGTTTGAAGAGCACTGCTCTACACTATTCATGTGAATTTGTGGAGAGAGAATTTGCAGGAAACTGTGGTCCTGTAGTTGTTCTGATTTTTTTTCTTTCCTCAAATAGATTAGTTAAGGAGATAAATATGGAATAGTTCTATG